GGATAATGAGGTATATAATTTGTCAGGTGGTGGTAAGTCCTACAGAGAAAAATAAAGCAGATAAAGTAACCTTTGAGAAGAGACTTGAATGATTTGAAACAAAGGGGTGGCCATCGGGCAACAGCAGGTACAAAGGTGCTAAGCTGGGGTGTGTTTGGCATATTTAAGGAAAGCAGGGAGACAGGGGTGACTGGAGTGGAATTAGCAAGGGAAATGGGAAAGGCAGCCAAGGACCAGATCACATACCAGCTTGTAGGCCACGGTAAGGAATATGGCTGTTACTCTGAGAGGAAATCTTCTAAATTACATTTTCAAGGGGTAACTGGGTGCTCTGTGGAGCACAGACTGTAGAGGGGCAATCATGGAAGCAGGGAGATCAGGTAAGATAGGAAGGTAGGTAGATGGATGGATAGATGCTTAATAAATAGAACGTATTTATATTGCATATTGAAATGTATGTCTGCCAGTATTTTGCCGGATGCTAGGGATACGAGGATTAATAAAAAGAGACGCTGTCCTATAGGGAGGGAGATTGCCATGGATGTATTTGGGGTTTTGTTGATCATGTCCATATACTCTGGAGGTACACTACTGAAGAACTGAAGAACACAGACTCACTGAATCTGTAAGACTGAGGAGGATTAAGGTGTAAGGAACTGTGTGAGGAGGTGTCCTCGTTGAGTGTGCGACACCTGAATGCCAGAAGGAGCCTGTTGGGTCATGCGGTAAAGTGGAGAGCGGACAAGGACCACACTGGTCAGGAGTGAGGGCAGAGACAGGCTGGGTACTTTACAGTGGGTGACGAGGAGCCGGGTGTCACGTGAGAAGGAAGAGGAGGTGGCATTAGCAGATGCGAAGTGCAGTCTGATTATGATCATCAAAAAGGGTTGCTGGGCACCTCTTAGCAGTGCCCACCTAAACGCTTTTGAAAGGAGCTATGTGATTGACGGCTCTGTATTCTGGGAGCTTATGATCCACCAGACAGGCAGGTGAGAATGAATGACCAAACACAGGTGGTGGGCTGTGTCTTCATAGAGTAGAGCGAGGCCCCAGCGTGTGTGTTCTGCCAAATTCTCTTGGGGTGCAGGGTAACAGAAAACACGTGCTAGGGAATGGGGGGGTGGAGATTTTGAGTCCATAGATGAGAAATTGTGGGTGATTCAATAATAAGGAGACCCCAAGGTTCTTTTTTTTAAGGAGCAGATCTGATGAGAATATTACCTGAAGAGATTGGGAATTTAGTCCCAAAAAGGCACATCAAGGCCAGTTTCTTCTTTGTTTTCACCACAGTATGTTGGAATAGATGTGGAAAACCTTGTTTAAAATCACTGTAGATTGGAAGAAGTGTGGCTCTCAGTAACACTGTAAAATTCTGAATAACAACCTGTGTTCTGAAACATAGTCCACGTCTTCAAAGAAGAATTGCTTCTCTTTTCTTTATCCTCACTTTTGGAAGCAAGATTCCCTTCCTCGTATGCACCCTGACGAGTAGAAACTTTCATTCAATAAATATCAGTAATTATTCAGTAATCATGTAAGCACTTACCGTGTGCTGAGAAAAGCCCACCTCTGGTAGAGGAGACAGACACCTGGAGCCCAGAACAGTGTGACAAAGCCAAGAGTTAAGATGTTTATGAAGTAACCCGAGCTACAGAGGCTGGAGGTGAGGGGCAGGTTTCTCGAAGGAGCTGACAACTGAGCCGGGTTGGTCTTGAAGGGAGCTGCCACTGGGAGAAAGAAGGAAAAGATGGGGGCGCCCCCCCCACCCCAGCACACTCTAAGGTGGATCTCTGTGAACACTTGGGGAGAGACCCGGTGTCTAAGTATGCGAGGCCTACCTATTTGTGTGGTTACCTTCCTCAAAGTGTTTTCCGTCAGTCAGTGTATCCCCTAGGCTGGTAAAGAAACAAGTGGAACAAAAAAATGTAGGAAACAGAGCAAAGGAATTGTCCTGAAATTACACAAGAATCTAATAGAGACAGAATGGGCATTAGAGTTTTCTATCCCTTCTACCTCTACCTAGCACCCCCCACCCCCAAATTCCATAAAATCCCTGAACTTGGGTGATGCGGAGTCAGAAATGTGCCTTTATTGCTTTCAACTCCTAAAATAACAGGGTTCACCCTTGCTTGCCTCGTTCACACTGCCCCTTCCCTTGTCACTGTGCTGTCACAGTTCCCATGGGGAGTCGTAACAAGGCCTCTCGCCACACTCCTTCATAAAAGATAACGCTACACGCCACTAAAATGTGCCATTAAAAAGTCACAGACAGGTACATTTGTGCCTTAAGCAAAGAATCTTTAATATGACTGTGTTTTATCCAGGGCTAGAACGGCCCCGCCTCCTCTCAGTTCAGCATCCCTCTGTTGTGGGATAAAATGGGTCTCTTCCAGGATTTTGTCAGCTGTGTGTAGTACTTGGAGTTGGCAGAAGTAACATAAAGATGGACATTACCCTTAAGAAGGGGGAAAGATGGTATTATTCAGCTTAACCAGAACACAGCACTTTTAGTAAACGTGGAGATTTTGGCCCCTTTCTGTGTTTTTCGGGTCTGGTTTTCAACTCAAGATCTTTAAATGTGTTGTAGTTCTCCTCACGCAGATTAGTTACAGAACAGAATAAAGGTCATTGCCATATACGGGGTTTGTGTGGGCTCACTTCGTAATGGGGCAAGGAACCCACGTGGAATTAATTGCACTTCTTCCTTGAACCTACATGACAAAAATCAGTGTGGAAATGCAAAAAAAAGAGGAGAAGAAAAAAGAAGTGAGGCCCACTAACCAGAGTACAGAACTTCTGATCTAGGACAAACTGGGAAGAGTAATCCTACCCTAGAATATTTGTTCTGAGGGGGGAGGGTATAGCTCAGTGGTAGAGTGATTGCTTAGTGTGCCCGAGGTCCTGGGTTCAATCCCCAGTACCTCCTCTAGTAAATAAATAAATAAATCTAATTACCTTCTGCCACAAAAAGGAAACAAAGAACAAAATTTTAAAAAAAAAGAATATTTGACTCTTTTTCAAAGTTCATGCTGATTCAGTTGACTGGGTGATTTTTAGGACTATTCATCCTGGTGGTTGCTCTGCAGGATTTCAGGGCTAAACTTTAAAATGAAAATGAGCATGGACATAATAAGGGCTTCGGTTTCACCAAGTTTGATGCTTTTAATTCCTAGGGGTAGGGAATACCTAAAATGTTCCAGGGCAGAATTTCTTAATTTCGCAGCCTGCGCAGTGCATCTCTCCTGTCCCACACGACGAGCAGCTTGAGGAGAGGGTCCCACTGCTGTTTTCCACGAATTAGTTGCTCCATTCATATTCTCATGTCATTCAAGT